TTCAAATCAAGAAGCGACAGTGCTAACTACTGCACCAGTCCTCCACCCTGATGTACAATACCATAAAGGCAAGCCATATAGAGACGTAGGTCCTCCAAAATGCTATGCTATTTCATATCAAACATGCAAATATGAGAGTCTATTGCTTAATTTATAGGCTAATTCCAATAACTTCCCTTTAAACCTATAAATATGTAGTTGGAAGCATTGGGTCACACACTGAGATGTTAAAGCTCAGTTGTATCACGACCATGTCTGTGTACAGCCAGCACTTTTGACCATCTATATCCAGTCACTGATGCAGTCTGACCAATAACAAGTATTTTGCCGATGGCACAAGCAGCAGTGTCTCACTTCCAGTGTGGATCAATGGCCGCCGCCTTGAGGCGTAGACACCATTCTATTTGGGATGATAGCTTGGGGGTGGGGTGGGGGGGAGAAATCAAGGTGGGAAAGGTAACACAAAATAGAAAATACCCTGGCTAGTCATACCAAGGCACTGTCGTGGGAATAACATCTAAATTGATTTCTGCATCATGCTCATTTTAAAATTCCAATCTAGCAGCGATGTTTGCAATACTGGCTGCTTAGGTAAAGGCATGTCTTCAGCCCCTTTGTGTACCTGTGTGTGTATATGTCAGTTGCCAGGTTAAGGCGATTTTCTGAAGAATGTATGCCACTATAAGGTATGCTTTTATGGCCCAGATAGCACATCATTCACATTCAATTATTAAACAAGATTTCCACACTGGACTACCGGTTGCAATCGTTTTTTAAAGGAATGCCTGCTTGTGTTCTCGGCAGTGTATTCAGTCTGAGTTTAGCACCTATGTACTTCATCTGCCGAGGGGAAATGATCGTGTTGAATTTGAATGAGGCATCCTTGGCCCTCCGGGGTGGCTCTGTCTCCTTGTGGCCTAAAGACTGTGTCCTTCACAATCCCTGCATGCCCTTGTGCCTTTCATTTGCATACTAGAGAAAGAGGCAGCTCATTGGCTGAGAGTGGAATTGGGGAAAGTGGTTCCATCCTGCAGCCATCAGAAAATCACCTTTACCATTCACCCAGACTAAAGACTCTGCTGAGACTGTGCTATACAACCGCTCAGTTTGTACCTGACACAGGAGAGAATAGCAACAATTCACTTTCTGTCTAGTCAGTCCATGTGTTTTTATGTGTTATTGTGGATTTTACATGCTTGGTGTTCTGCGTCATGCTGTAATCACAGAGGACAAGGATTCACTTTCAAATTCAGAAAAAAGGAACCTTTTGTGAGACGGGCTTGAGGCATGATATAATGTGGAAGAGACAGATCAGAGAATGAATATGAATTGTAGCAATTTATTTGTGAAAATGCTTTAAATTTATTAGATTGTGGCTTAATCGAATTTTAGGATTTCTATTATTCGTGAAAGCCTGTGTGAGGACAGAGCAAGGACACTAAACATGTATTTGGTATTTAGCCTTGGTGTATTACTAGCCTAACGCTAGTCTACAGCAGTAGAACTGCTAATAATTTCCAGTTTAAGATTCAGTTTGATCATCCAACGGTACTATTTGTTCAAACTGAACCCACATTTACAGGATAAACCCAATTGATTAGGAAACTCAGGTAACTTAATGGAGAACGAGAAAAACGGAAATTGCATGAACTCGATGACATGGCAAAACTTTTCAGGCAGTGTGTGGGCAAGACAAATGCTCTAGTTTGCCTTTCCATCATCCAAACTTTAGATAAGTTCACTGCAGATACTGTGTGTGTGGGCAGGTTTGGACTGACGGCACAGTGCTTTGTCTCTGGCAGGCAGCCTGGGGGCCAGGCCAGTTGTGAACTGTCTATACAATTGTGGACAAACAACATGAAATTGTATCTGACCTCTCCTTAAAAATGCCAAGGTACAATCTTCTCTGCAATCAAAGCAGCATCTGTCTGTCTAGCAGATAGACAGATAGATCTCTGATATGTATGTCTTTATTTCTTTACTGTATGATGTAATTGAAGCCAACACCAGAAAATAGCTGTGTTGTGTCTGAATTATATTGCTCTGTGGCGCACTGGACATTTTATGAAAAAAATAATGCAATTTAAAAAAAAAAAACACAAATTCAACACAAACAAACAGCCTTTTAAACCTGTGAGATGTGCTGTGTGTCCTCATCGTGCTTTGTGTCCTGCATGAAAACATTATTTTGCATCTTATAATCATTAAATGTTGAATACTGTGAGATGTACAAGCTAAACTCACGTGACGTATTCGTGTACTCTGCGGCTCGGAACAAGAAGTTAACTCCTCACTCCTTCCAGTTCGGCTCTTGGTCATTTATTCAGAAGTGGCAAACAATTGAGAAACTGTGTGTTTACAGCTGTCCCGCTGTGTGGATTCAGCACTATGAAAAATGCTCTCTGTTTAATGGGAAAGTGTGAACTGTGAAATCTCCCAGGGAGGCTGCTCTGTGACGACATCGGCGCCCCTTGTGGGACATGAAATGTCATCCTCAACGCTCGGCCATTCAGCATGTGCAGCATGATGGATTTTAGTTTGCTGCGTTTTGGGTTGAAATGGGAGAGGAAATAAGGTGAAGAAGTGTAAAGGAGCACGGAAATAAATTATCATTATGGCAGCCGCTGACAATCATAGACAGGCTAGTCATTTGGCTGACAAGGGTATTGGTGGTTGGTGGGTACGGTTAAGTGTCAAGGGACTAGGACAGTGATGTATTGCATACCCATCAGAGTATGTGCTCATTTGTTACAAACAATGGTGTACAGCAGGGGATTGGTGTGTTTCACTTGAAAGTATGCGGTTCACCGTTTTGACTCAGTTTCAGCTTTTGTGTGTGTGTGTGTATCAACTTTGTGTTTTGTCACCACTACAAGTTCTTTTAAAAAATGTGTGATGAACATGTTAGCTGTGACAGTGCTGCCACTGCTCCCATTTGTTGAGTTCAATAATTAAAAGGATTAATTCTACTCTGTCTGATACTGTGCTATTACATTTCATAGAAAATGGGCCACTGGTAATAATGCCCAAAGTTGCAGAAAATAGCTATCATTGAGGGGACGTTTTAGTGTCATTAATGATTTTCGAACACTCTTAGTTGTCCAGCTCTAGTGAATGATCATTATAAAGCGGATATTCACTGTGACTCATGGCCATAATGACTGTAATTATAGGCCACAAAGCCCCCACAGGTAAGGAGTGTGCCCTTTCCACAAATTATAGGTTGCTATCTAAAATGATTAAAGAATATGAATGTGATAAAGTGCGAAGAAAGAAGTGCCGTGAAAGAGGAGTGAGGCTCTTTATGAAAGCTCCTAAAAGCAGCCAAGCATTTACCTTCTATGCAGGGCAAAAGTTTAGGTTTTACTTGAGATACCCTTGGAAGTTACAAGTGCAAGTTTTATAAACAACACTGGCCGACATCCTGCGTGCACATCTCGGCTGCATGAAAAGGGTTGTCCTTGCTGTCAGGCGTTGATTAGCCATCCAGCGTGATGTGGTCATGGCTGTCTCCCTGTCTCAGTGGGAGGTCGGCAGGACTTGATGGATGTCTCTCTTTTGAGATTGTACAGTCCTGTGGTGTGGGAGGAGGACCTGGCCCCGCTTATTTATTCATGCTGGGCTCCTTTCTGCTTTGTCTAAAATGGTGCAGGACCTCCCTCCACAGCACGACTCCATCATTTCTGGATAGAGCTAAGCAGTGCATAAAAGAGAATGAGAAAAGGCAAAGGAAAAGCACCTCTTCCGTTTCTGATCCCCAAGCACCTTTTAAGCAAAAAAAAAAAAAAATCCACTTAGAACTGCATAAGTAGGAAGGGAGAAATTGCTTGATTTCCTACACGAGCACTGAATTTGAGGATAATCTTCACAGTACGTCGTCGCAGGATGTATTTCTCCCAGACTCTGGGTATAAAATACACACACACAGGGATGTGCGTGTAAAAATAAGACAAACGTTTATGGCAACAAAAAAGCACCCGCAGACAGGTCGTGCATATGCACAAACTCCTCCACTGTTTCATTTTCTTTAGCACAAGCTAAATAAGACTTAAGGACGGCCAATCCCAATAAATAGGAGAAAACAAAGACGGAAACGACCCATTCAGGAGGAGAAAGCAGTCTCTCTCTCCTTTACTATATTCCCTCATGATTCTGGCAAGACCACTGGGAGATTGATGTCTCTGTCTTTTTCATACCTTCTGTGACTGCTCAGCGAGGCACCGGGCTCCACGAAACTAGCCAAATTCCTAAATGATGAATGTACACTAGTGCATCCACTGGGACAAGAAACGAATCTAATATCTGCAGAGAGAGGAGGTTGATATTGAAAATCATCTGGAATTTTGCCTGGCCTGATATTGGAAATCCTTATTCTAATTGCATGAATGAATTGAATGCTCTGTTTTGATAAATCCACTCTGCCAGCAAGGGAATTGTATAAATGAAGCATCACAGATCCGTTTGTGTTTACCGCATGTGTGTGTCTGTTTGTGAGTGTGTCTGTGCCCGTAAGTCATTTTCATACTCGTCCTGTGCCGTTCTTGATTGCTTGTTTACTCAAGCAAAAACTCTGTTCACAATGTTAACATATAAAATAAATGAAACTCTGACGAGATCTTCCACCCACATATTACAACATATCAAATAGTCGTAAGAGGAACATTTTTCAAAATATCAGTCACCTTATGGAGAAATGGGAGGCAGCATATCAGTATAGAAAACCATTTTTATTTCTCATAAGGCTGTCCTGTAATGTACTTATAGCTACTGGGGGATAACTATGTTTCTCCTTTGTGACTAATACTTTCTCACTGTCACTTTGAATAAATCATCTCTCTGGTGTGTGTAAGAGGAACATCTACATTACAGACACTCTCACCCGTGACCACTCTCCGCTGCAGAAACGTAATTGTCCTATTATGGTCAGAGTTTCTCTGATGTGTCTGAGGGGAAAGGTCACGGGTGGGTGTTGCTGCTTTCTTTAGTGAGGCAGTTCTATACAGTGTTTTCCTCAGCTTTACTGAAACAACAAGCGCTTTCTGGAGTAACCAAACAACATTGCTGAATGACAAAAGTGAGCAGAACTTATTTTTATGATTCCGTTGTGGCTTTTTCCCCCCAACGCGAAGCAGTCCTAGACACACCGCACTGTGACGACAGCCTCTGGCTTACGTTCAAGGGTTATTCAGGATTCCAACACGGGCTTGAAATCTGTAAATATATTTTTCAGCTTCTTGGATCTGTCAGCTTAACATGTAATGTATTTATATATGTGTATATATACACAAATTATCTTACATACAAAGAAAAGAAGTGCTCATGAATTTACACTGGGCATGCCCACCAATAAAAGTCAGAATGTTCGTCGTGGAGGATGAGCGTGAGGCCATGGGGTTGACCCTAAAGCCTCTCTGAGAGTCTTCATTAATCGACCTTTCTAGCGGTAACAGCTGACAGTTTCCTCGGTGCAGCCACAACAAAGCCATCAGTCTCAGTTAGTGAGTCAAATACAAATGCTTTCCACACAGAAATAAAAATAAAGCGACGTAATTTCCCCCAATGTGCCCTCAGTTCCACAGATTCAGGTTCAGGTCTATGAAAGTTTGCCAACACGTTCACCCTCAGACGGGCGGGGAGAACGTCTTCAAATTATGTTTTAACAACCTCTAAATAGCCCCTCCTAAGCTGCTTCAGTTCTGAATAGGGAAACAGAGTGAGGGAAGAGTAGGTCAGAAACTGGCCACAGCTGTGTGGAAGAGGAGAGTCACCAACATGGAGCTCATTGATCAAACACGGGATTAGTCTGGTTTCAAATCCTTGGCACCACGCGAGCAAAGCTGTTTTATCTGGGTGGATATCCTTTCTATGGTCCCAGGTAATCCAGTCAGTAGCCGTGGATGTAATAGTTTTAGTCCATTCGATGAGAAGAGAAAGGGTACATGAGGGGAAGGAGCCTGGCGCTGAGCCCTGCAATGGGAGCTCTCTGTTAGGTCCTGGGATGAATCTGCAACACAGAGGAAGAAGAGGAGAGGAGAGAAAACACACATATGCTTAGATCGAACAAAGGCATACAAGTGTGTGAGGATTAGACCCCGAGGAATTGCTTCGTTCGCACGTTTTAAAAAAAACCCCCAAAAAACGAGGGGAGTCTTTTGAGCTGTGGAGGCTTTGTACAGCCCGTCTCACCTCCTGGTTTATGCTGTGACAGAAAACAGAAAAACAGAAAAACAGACAGCTTATATGCTTGGAAACCACACTGAAGATGGAGGGTTATTTGGCCTTTTTATGTGTACCAGGATAAATCAGCAAAATTCTTTGCATAGGAAATCCTGGTGTGTTTCCATGCTGTGCATGTCTGCTTAATGGTATAATTTTTAGCATATTTTTGCCTTTAACATTGAGCAGTTTTGCAGGCCCCCTCACAGCCCGCTCCAGCACCTTCATTTGAACCTTAATAGTCAGCCAGCCAATTTCAAACGACCTGATAAAATAACGTTGGCTTTTCTAAATGGGATTGGGGGCCCCTGCTGTGGAGTCTGAGCTGTCTCTCCATGACTCTGGTTCAGGGACTCTTATTCAGCCCCAGTTGCAGACCTGGACACTTTTCAATGCTGCATTGTACAGCCTTGAGACTGCTATTGAAAGTCCTGCTTTTCAGCATCTTGCTTATCCTGAAGCTCAATAAAAACGGTGCGCACGATGTCTGCAACAGTTACAGTTGTCGAGTTCCTTAATCTCTTTTTATTGTCGCAACAAAAGCATGAAAGAGTTTCATCACATTTCTGACTTATGTTACTGCGAGTTTACATTAAAGAAACATCATGTTTCTCGCACACGGCGGTGCCAATTAGAAATCCCATAATCCTCTTCAACAAAGAAACACACTCATGACATTTCCAGCAGTCTTGGCAGGTGGCAACCAGGTGTATGGATTTAATTATGGAGGGTGCTGTGTTGGACTCTGTAATCTCTAACTCACAGTCAGAGCTCCAGTAACTTGTACATGCCAGTAAGCAAGCCATGTGACTTTATTAGTTCCCCTCCCTCAGTAACAGTAATGTGCACCTATATTCACTCATTCCATTTATGAGGAGGTCTTATGATTAATATCTGAAACCATACGAAAACACGTGCATCTGAAAATATAATGCAGTGCAGCCATAGCCCCGACAGACTTGTTATTGACTTGACAGAATAATTGAATGCAGCGGCAAAGTAAGAATTTTAGCAGGCCATTTATTTCATCTTTGGGCCGTAATTCAATTTTGTTGCAAAACACAGATTCGACACCAGTTGTAAATGAACATCAGCTCATTTATGCAATTTTCAAGAGCCAAGAATCATCCATTATTCTGCCTTTTATTCCCCATCAGAGTGGTGGATTTTGTCTTCAGGACATTTAGTATTTAAAAAATATATATTTAAAGATTTTTTTTCTGGTTTCTCTGCAACATTTCTGGCGGATACCTTAGTCTGGGGCAGATATAGACAGTTTTTGTTGAGAGTATTTCAAGAAAATCTGTAACGTGTCTTCTTTTTAAAACATATACCAGATATTAATGCATTAACTAACAGTAGAAGGAAAATATATTTAAAATGTCAGCTGAACACAGAATTGTTCACTCCAAATAATGTTCATTTTTGCATCTATTTTATCCAGTAGCATTTTAATATTTTGTTTACTTCTTTTATAACTTATATGCTGTCAGTTGCACAATTTTAAACATTTCATGTAAAGAGAATTTTATAGATTTAACTAAAAGATGCAAATACAACTTCTGGTGTGAGTGGTAACAATCACACTGATTTATTTGTGTTTTAGGGATTTTTTTTTTTTAATCCAGTCATTAAATCGTCTGACAGGAACAGCAGGATTGATGTAGTCACCTTTTAAACTCTTTGAATGATTCACCGCAGCTGTTGTTATGTATGCTTTAAATAGCTACTCGGATTTAATATTTCCTCCTCTGGGTCTCTTTTTCTGTATAGGTTGTCAATTTTTCCCAATGGTTTTAAACACTTTTTACCCCCTCTGGGCTCATCTGTCCAGCATTTGCATATGTATGATCTACTGTCTGGTGACATATCAAAATTACCTCTGCCAGAACAAAAGCAGTAACAGGTTACACCACTGAGGATCACTTTTGGTCTGAAATGCAATCCACCAGAGGTTTGTTAGCGGGAAGAGAAGGGTTGTATGCAAATGTCGTCATTTCAACCCACATATGCATGTAAGAGTGACTAAAAGTGTCCTCTGTTCTCTTTTGTCCCCTTCAAACAAACAGTGCAGCGAGCACAAGTGGAACGCTCAAGGATTTCCTACTTGTTCCCATCTTTGCTGGCAACTTAGGTGTCTGCATTCTAATTTGCTGGGTGCATTAAATTTCAATTTGCTCAGACTTCAGTTAGTAAAAAGACCCAAGGACAATTGCCTTAACAAAAAGATTTAGTGCAAACACAGCCTACCCTTTCCCCTTTCTTGTTTAGTGCTGAACAAATCAATCATGCTTGCTCAGAAACCACTTGGAATAACACTAAAGAGCACCCTCTGAAAACAGAAGACTCCAGACAAGAAAATACATCAAGATCCATTTAATGTGACATTGACAATGGATAAAGAAAAGCAAATGAACATAAATTAATCAGCAGCACTTGGAATGAACTCCTTCACCATTACTATGTATAAATATGTCATAAGGATGACAATCTCGGCACTTTTGGGAGTCTGAACCGCATCTGTCAGTTTAGAGTCTCATCCTTTAAACAAAGTGGATATCTCAAACAATGCACTGTTTATGATTAGTTTATAATTTTTCTGTTTGTCATCGTGATGACATTATACAAAGCTGAAGGAGAAAGAAGCGTTGTCAGGCTCAGAGATGGAATGAATCATTCCTGGGTGAAGCTGGACTGTATGCGGCACGGCCGTTTGGAGTTCATTTTGATCAACTTCAGAGCTCGATCTCCCGATTTGACAAATTAGATGGTGAAGCATCTGCTGGCAGGTCACTTTTGCTCTCGGGCTATCTCACAGATGGGCTACATCCTGTCACAGTGTGTTATTTTGCTTGAAAAAGTGCCCTCTGCTCCTTTTAATAAGGGACTTGCGGCACACTGAACAGCAAGTAAATCATGTCAGACTAGCTGGAGATGGAACACACTGAAAAGTGTGAAAGATGGAGCTTCACTTAAATGTAACGCTTTGCACTCACTAATCTGAACACTTGATAGTGGAAATATTGTGTCTTTATACAGTTTAAACAACTTCTGTAGATGACTAAGAAACGTTTGCTGCAGTGTGAAATCACTAGAAAAAGTTCAAATTCATGGGATGCGGGATGACGCTCGTATTAGATATGTATTACATTCTCGCTTTGATAGTGACAACATATTGATATTCACTCTAGTACACTAACAATGAGGTTATTAAATGAATGTAATTTTTTTTCCTCGCTATCATCAAACGGGGAGGAGAATGAATAAGAGAAAAGATGCTTCGATTACAGCCTCTCTCATTCTGCCTGTCTCTTTTAAGATGTGTAATTGTTTGGAGGGAGTAGAAATGGATTGATCTATTTAGCCAGTGGAGCGGGTAATGCAGATCTATGGTGGGCGAGTGTTTTGGAAGGTGCTCCCCAGCCTCGCTCTCACTGTGACTTCCACAAACAATAGGGCCTGCCTTGTCTGCTGATACAGAACAGGCAATGAAGGGCTCCCTCTCTGAAAGACATAAAGAAAGAAAAGAAGAAACATGGGTGTCAGGCACTGGCTTTTTGCTTGTTGCTTCTTACTTTGAATGCCAATTTTTAGTGAACGATGATGATGATGAAGCCTGTCTTTGGCTGTACATGTACGCACGCCTGTCTCATTGTGTTTCACTTGCGCGTTTCAGAACCAAATAAAAACTTCTAGGTGGAACAAAATGACTAGGAAAAAGAAACCACGCCGCTGTGTTGTGAGTTTGGTGGCTTGTAAAGGAACAAATACAAATGAGGCAATTTGGCCTGAGAGGCAGGTGAATGAGGAATGTTGATTAAAAAAGAGCAGAGTGCAGGATAAAAGCCCTTTCATGTAGCCTGTGGGCTATGCTGTGTGCTGATAGCTGCTTCAACAAGACCCTCTGAGGGGGATCAGGACATCAAGTGGCCTCTGATAAGAAGCCACACAACGAAAAGGGAAGAGATCTGCCCGCCAGCCTCAGTTGTGCACACATGAGTGTACCCGTACAAACACAGACATATCAAACACATCAAACATGTGCGTGCATACACAACTAGGAGCACACACGCATGGAGGAGCAAGTAGCATGTCACAGATTAGTGCCTAATGGGATTGGCAGACCGGTGCAAGGCGCTGTAATCAAACCCACACAGTGGCCGATAGCAAAAAACAGGACATGGAACAAAGGAGGCAATGAAAGGAAGAAGGACAGATCCTGCCATTACACACTGATCACAGACAGCAAGGTTCTGCTAAGAGGCGGACCTGACTCTGTGTGTGTGTGTGTTTCTACAGTGCTCTGTGAATGTGCTGCTATAGCATGCTGTATGCATATGTATGTTAAGCCATCTGCGCACTAAACATTTTACTGATACGTGAGCCACAGTTTCTGTAAAAAAACTTTGCAGCAACTTGCTTATTATTTATGCGTGCTCTGCCTGCGCTTGGTGATAAATATTTACAGTGGGTGGCGGTGCGATCAGTATTTGTGTCACGCCTGCCTAATCATGCACAGCATGTAAACACACACTTGATTATTTCGCACTGAGTATTTGGGTTAATGGGAAGTCATTGAACATGAGTTGGTCCCACTCCTACTGCCCAACACTCAAATGCATACAGTGATGTGAGAGAGACGTGAAAACATAGAAGGTAAAAAAAAAAAAAGAGAACAGCTTAAAAAAAGACTAACCTTTACAGAAGCAAGAATGCAGCTCAATTTCTGTTGACGCATCCTCTGCATTTTGCTTCCGGAAGCTAAAAAGGGGAGTATGGCTGGGTGTTCTGCAAAGAGAGGGTCAAGAAAAAGAAGGACACGTGTGTATTCGGTAGAAAAGCACCTGCAGGTCTGACCTTTTTACGCTCTTCTCTTAAGATTTTGACATTAGACCAAAGCCATGTGACAGTATAGCTTTTCCTTCTTTTGTGCGCAGAAATTAACAAACTCGATTTCTGCACCTCAAGAGAGTAAATAAATAAAATAGAATTCACTGCCTCTACTTTACTGTGCCAAAATCTTGAGCCACCCCGCATCGCTTTATATTTTCTTAGGAAAATAGCTAATAGGTGCAATGATTTATTGAAATCTGCAAACATACATTTAGGACAACCCCCACCATCCAAATTGTTTTTCTTTTTCTATCCAGGTATTCTTTTCATGCTCCAAAATGAAGCTGTAATCAATCAGATGCTTTTCCAGATATTATTCCAACATAGATCAAAATCTGATGGTAATTTCTCTTTTAATAATTCCAACAAACTCCAACACCACTGGCTGAAATGCAGCCCTAAACCATGACAGAGCCTCCACCGTGTTTTGCAGATGGCTGTGGACCCTCACTTTTGTACTCATTGATGATACATGCTGATGATGATCTGAACCAAATTTGGATTCAGCACTCCGTAAGACTTTTCAGTTCAGTTCTTGTGCCTCTTCTCCCTGTTTCTCTTCATTAAGATCAGATTATTGACAGCCACACTTCCACTGAGACTGTAGTGAACATTTCTGATGAAGCTTTAGAGAACAGTAGATGAGCTGAATAGCCAGAGGCATCTCTCAGGTCTTGGCTGGATATTGTTTACCTGCTGTAGATCATTTTTGGGCCTGTCAGTTCTTTGTTTGTCCTCTACTTGCCTGGTTTCCTAAATTGTTTTAACACAATGCACACCATGTTGACAATAGCACTTTGGGAATGATCTTGTTGGTGCAAAAATATTTTATGCCTGTTAAACTGTGTTATTATAAGTGTTTTTCATAGTTTTGACTCAAGAATTAGGAAGAAGTCACATGCTTTTGCAAAAGGCTGCTAGTCATAAAGTGTCTAAAGATATGATTTATAATCAGTTCTTTGCTAAGTTGTCTGCGATGTGGCAATATAATAATATAATACAGATGCGGTTCATGTAATACTATTTGGCTGATTTATGAGTCAGCGTTAAGCGACTCATCCAAAACACAAAACAGAGAGTGCAGGTATAAGGGCTGGACTGGAGAATTAGTGAAAAAGAAATGTCAGAAAGCCTGCCCAAGACATTTTTAAATACTTGGCTCCTTTGAAGTGAAATACAAAGAAATGACAGGTTGCTCAAGACTTTTGAACAGTACTGTTCATAAGACAGCGATCATTTTAAATTGACTTTCTTCACATTACGCAGTGGGCTGCATTGATACTTCTAGATCAGGGGTGGGCAATCTCAGTCCACGAGGGCCGGTGTCCCTGCAGGTTTTAGATCTCACCTTGGGTCAACACACCTGAATCACATGATTAGTTCTTTACCAGGCCTCTGGAGAACTTCAAGACATGTTGAGGAGCTAATTTAGCCATTTATATCAGCTGTGTTGGTTCGAGGACACATCTAAAACCTGCAGGGACACTGGCCCTCGTGGACTGAGATTGCCCACCCGTGTTCTAGATGCTTTCTAAAGAGTAAACCAAGTACTGTGCCTTACCTTGACAAGCTGGCAAGACCCCATTCGATCAACTTCTTTCTGAAAATTTTAAGCCTGCGATGGCTGTGAGGGGCCCCTTTGAAAGCTTTATGTCTATTTGCTGGCACATAAATCTACAGAACAACCTTGGGAAGCCCCATGACGTCTAGCCTTCACTGGCTGTTCCCCGTTTCTCTACTATCACATTAGCCTCTGCTGCTATTCAAAGTCATTGTCACCAAGCACTGGAAGGGAGAAAGGGGGTCAATTAAGTGAATACAAATCAGGTGATCAACTTGTCACAGTGCTGGACTGCTGGCTTCGAGGACTAAACTCTACATTATTTTTGCATACTGCAATCGAAGTGAGTGCACAAAGCTGAAAAAGCAGTGGAGGAGCAGAGCAGCCATTAACTTTATGTCGTTGACAAGTGTGGCCTGAGGCAGATCCCACCTGTTTGTTTACCACCTGCTTTATATTTATTTATTTTTTTACTACTATGGGCCATTAGATAGGTTGCTTACACTGAACAAAACCAACCTTGTTATAGAGAGGGCACAGCTTTTGGATGAATTTCTTTACAGTGCTATTTCAGCACATTTATATGGGTTTGAAAATCTGCGTTTCAATGTGTGCAGCAGCAGGCAGTTGACAAGTTCAAGAAAAACGATTACATTTAAAGTTGTCTGGCTATATCCCATGCATTGTGCGGAAACGGTGTAAGTGTGCCGTGTCGTATGGTTGGTTAGGTGTGCATTTCTACTCGCAGCACAGAAATGACAAACACATGCATGTAAAGTATGCGTAGAATAGCTTCTCTGTATTATGAGTGTGTGTGTGTGCATGCAGATGGAGGCAGCTGAACTTAAGTGTGTGTGGTTTCTCACCCTTGTGGTCTTGATTTTGTTCCCAGAGGAGCACATCCATCCAGAGTTGTCAGGCAGAGTCTTACACTCTTCTCCCTCCAGACACGGTTCCATCTCACACCACCATTTCCCAATTACAATGGACGCTGTGAAAGATGAGCACAGACACATAACAAAGCAGCATTAGTTTAGACACATAGTTCCCTGCCCTCCAGCCCCGCATCCACTCATAAACTGGACTTCCCTTCTACTTGAGACATGAAATACAGAAGGAAAAAGAAATAAATAAAATGGGAAAAAGATTTATTTGTGCCTGCATGTGTTTCACTTCAGTACAGCTGTTATTGCTGGTTCCCTCCACTCCTCTGCTCTTTGTTTCACTGTGTGTGTTTCCGCTTCATTGTGTGATCCGTGTGCAAAGTTCCATCCACACACAAAGAACAGAGCGGGACAGACAGTGACTTTAAAGTAAAGACAACCACAGCTGAGTTGGAGAACAGGGGAAAATGAGTGTTTAGATAATAAGTCAAGTGTCAAAATCACAATTGCTGGGATTAGAAAAGAAAGAAAGTTTACTTTATTGATCCCCGTGGGGGAAATTCCTCACTGCATTTAACCCATTCACTCAGTGAAGCAGTGGGCAGCCATTGGGCACCCGGGGAGCAGTGTATAGGGACTCATGGGTACCTCAGGGTAGCTGTTCAGGGGAATCGAACTCTCGACCTTCTAATCATGGGGCCACCACTCTACCTACTGAGCTATCCCTGCCCCTGTAAACCTGTAACATATGTACTGTATGTACATATGATTTATCACAAATCCCATTTCACTCCCCTGTGAATGTAATATTATGTTCTCTGTTTGCATTTGTTTCATGTGTCATGTTCAAAGTACGTTACTCATACCTAACTTAGTGGAACCATAGTGGAATTTTCACTAAGAAATAATGAAGTACTTGAAAAGGCACTGCAGGCTAGTAATGGTAATGACAAGACTTGAAGAAATGGAAGCAGGATGCATTGAAAAGCAACAAATTCAGTTTGTAAAATGTGGGGATAAATCACTGTTTAAAGGACTAATTTAAAAAAATTGTGTTATTTTCAAGATTGTGTTTTTCAAATAGGCATGGAAAGCATAAAATGTATAGTAACATACAATTTAAAAACATAAGGATTAGTATTCGAAATGTGGGTGGACTCGCACATGCAGAAAACTCCCACACAAACATATTTGGTGTGCAAATTATCCACACAGGCAGAATTGTGAGCACTTACACAGACGCAACCACACATTATATTACGAGCATCTCCAGAGGAACATCCAGCAGTGTCTCTAAATGAATATTTTTCCTCCTCTTTGGCCTCAGAGCAATTGTATTGTTGCTGCATGGGTACTTTAGCTGTTGACAATAATGTCTTATACCAACAGAAATTAATCATTATTTTGTTTTGATATAGCTACATTGCATGAAGGGGAGCAATCTCATTTTTAATCAAAACTAATTGCCTCTCATCAACTGAATTCTTCCTCCAGCTATTTAACAAAAGCAAATATGTTCTCATCTTCACAACAAGATGTCTTTCCCTCCCCTTTTTCCATTCCTCTCTCTCTCTCCCTCTCTGTCTGTAGGTACATATATGTTTTTTTTTGTTTTTTTTTTAACCCAAAGTATATATGGCATGTTAAAGAGCACCATACATGCACTTTCTAGCACTCAAATCTTTTTAAGTAGTAATTATGGTAAATGATAAATGGCCTGTATTTGTATAGCGCTTTACCCTAAGGACCCAAAGCGCTTTACACATCCAGTCATCCACCCATTCACACACACATTCACGCACTGTGTTAAAAAAATTACTTTGTTACTTCTTCTAATTAACTTACTTCGGTCCATATGTTTTTATAGTTGCAAACCACCAGCCTCCTGGGTGTTTCATAGCTTGTGCGTCACTGAGCATTATAGTGCTTATACCATTGCTACTTGCCAACAAACTGCCATATGTAATACAACTGAAAATACAACTAAAAATATCAGTTACTCATTTTCAAATATAGCTCATTTTGCTCTACGCTTCCACATTAAAATCCCTCCTGGTTGTCCCAAGTGTAATACACATTAAAAACTGCATAAATGGGTTTTTCGCTGAGAAGCTTCGTGTCTTTTTTTTGAGCTTGTCGTTGGTGGTTACACAAACAACTCTAGTTCTCGCGAACTTACACTGAGGCTCAGCTATTCCTTCCTTTGCCTACGCTTTGATACAGGGATTAATCAGGTTACGAAATGCTAATCTTCACCTTACAACCAATAAGAATTTTAAATGGCCATCATCTAAGGCTGCTGAATTATGGAATTTACTTTTCTTTTATTGAATAATAACAAAATCACAAGTTCTTCGCTTGATTGATTCAAGTGGGTGTGAATGTATCAAATTGACTTTAAACATAAAAGAAAATACCAGAACCAGCCCAGGCTGTAGTTTAGATTCAGTTGAGAATACGGGGTAACATCCTTCCCTGTGCATTTTATATTTTTGTAGTATTTTTGTCTTTTAAATTTTTAAATTCCACTCTAGGTTCCCACTGCAATTTGTCAGAGTGGGAACCTCTCTTCAAGTTACTGTAAATCCCAGCACAAATCAAAACCAGTCTTTCAAAGTCAAGCTGTGATTCATTTATTAACCATGAAGTTTGAAAAAAGAAACTTTTTGTTTTTCACACTCCTCCGTTAGAGCCTTCTGACAGAAAAAGTTAAAACTTCAAAGCAGGTTTTCAGATGATAAGTGATCTCTTGTCCCAACAGAGTTTTTGCAGCATGCACTGTGCTTTCTTAAATTCACTCTTTAAAGAGCATCTTTCCTTTTATCTTGTTGACGCAAAGAGGACGTGAAGGTCAAATTATTGGGTAAGTACAATGAGTTAAAACTGTATCATTTCATTTTCCAAACCTTGTTTTTTTTTTTCTGAACCATTTGGAAAATATACTTTTTTACCCTCCAGCATGTGTTGCCAAGGTTACAGACCAACCACCAATCAATTGTGAGCATGAGCAACATGTCGTCTCTACCTGATGGAAGAAGACTGTTAAAGTGCTGTCCCTCACAGCACAGAGTGTGCTACAGTTCAGTGTGAACCAACACACACATACATATACACCAGAGAGAGACTGGACCACTGCTGTTCAGTAAACTCACCATGTTATGTTGTCTCCTCCTTCATTTTTTTTCCCTCCATGAGCCCCAAGAATACTAAATACAGGAACGAGAGCATCCACTAACCGGCTGTAAATTCTCCCTTTGGCTTCCCCTGTGGCTGTTTACCTTATACACTAATTACATGTTGGTCCACCATAAACTGTGCTTCCTTATCTTGGCTTTCTCCATGTCTTAAATATTTCCCATGTTTAATTGTGTTTACATTGAGCTGTTTTAGGTGCCAAATCATAAGTATGCAGGAAGCCTTCATTAAGCTGCAAATCAGAACTAGACTTGAGGAGATGTGTTTTCTACTGAGTGATGATGATGTGTCGGTGTTATCATTCTGCTAGCCCTCTCCCGTCACTCCAGAGAGTGAACAGGAAGCCAAAAAGTTGTTTTTCAATACCCCAACAACCCAGGAGGATTTATAGCCAACAATGTGAATACTGAGTTCACTTGAAATTGAAGAACGGTAAAGGAGTGTCTGGCAAAACAAAAATCAATTCCTTTAAACCAAACCAGGAAGACAAACAAACAAACAAAAAACAGGAAAAGGCAGAAAAAGAAAGATGAATAAAAAGAAGTAAAAACGAGGTGGGAGATTAAAAAGCTGCATCACATGAGAACTGCTTCGCAGTGAATTGACTTTCTTCTAACCCTGAAATGCTTCCACATGAAGTAGATTGTTCATACAGCAGTCTAAAAAAAACGCATTGAATGCAAAAAGTTTGTTTTTCTGTTTTTTTATTCATCCCTCAATTTTCATTTCGTTTAGGGGCAGCTGTAGCTAGGAAGGTCAGTGGCTCGAACCGTGGCTCCTCCAGCGAGGATGTCAAAGTATCCTTGGGCAAGATGAACCCCAAATTGGCCCTGATGCATCTATTGGAGTGTGAGAGGGTGTGTAAATCTTAGACAAAAGCGCTCGAAGTAATAAAATGAAGTGTTATGGAAATGGTGAATGAGGCTTGTGGAAGGCAGCAGTTTGAGCTGAAGCAGAAAAGCACTATGCGTGTACCAGTCCACTTTATTAACGACTAATGTAAAAATATGCAGTGTTTATAATTAGGGAAGAGCCATAATTCTAGCTGACTGTTCGCACTTGTTACTTGCTGATTATTAATGATTTTTTTTTGCTAATTTGTAAATGGTTATTATATTGAAGAAGATTTACCACTTTGTTTGCAGCATTCAAGTGTATCAGTAACACTGATATGAGGCCTCATTTTCAGTACTGTACAAAAGTCTTAAGCTACCCCTCATTTTTTATATTTTGCCAAATTACAGAACATTTTCAGAAAGAAGCTGATTGAATTAGGGTCTTGCCAGCCTGTCATTGTGAGATGAGGACTTGATTTACTTTGAAATCCATCTATAAGTTTCAGTTTATCCACCCATCATTTATTTGCCTTTTGGTTTCAAGGAGCCAGACTTTATTGCAATTCTTAAAGTGGTCTTTACTGGGTTTCCTGAAGGGCAAAGTTTTTCTATTGACATTAGCAGCTTTTTCACTCATTGTACCATTTTTAGAAGATTTTCTTTGCCTGTTTTTTGTGCTTGTTAATTTACTTAACCTTAATCTATGAATCACTCAAGAATAAATAAGGCACCTTGCTCAAGGACTGAATCAGTTTAGTGTGTAACAGACACTTAAATTGTATCTTAGTCACTCTGTTACTTGTCACAAAAACACACAATTTCTTTCCATTCTTTAGTTGAAGCTAGGAAAAATGCCAAAGATCAAACAGTTGGACAGGCATAAAATAGTGTTTTTGAAACAACAAGTAGAGGTAAAGAGGTATTAGCTGAAAACCTGGCATATATTGTCATGGTGTGCAGTGGGTTCTTAAAAATGTTTTGATGAAAGTTGTAGAGGACAAACAATGACGCAGCAGGACTAAAAATCTACAGTAGAACGATATAAGAAAGTCTGAGAGATGCATCTGACCCTTCAG